TAAGTAGATCATCCACCCTATTCTTAAACACATCCAGGGATGGGGACTCAACCACCTCCCTGGGCAGCTTATTCCAGTGGCTGACAACACTTTCAGAGAAGAAACACTTCCTAACATCCAACCTGAATCTCCCCTGACTAAGCTTATACCCATTTCCTCTTGTCCTATCACCCATCGCTAATGTAAAGAGCCCTTCCCCTACCTCCCCACCATCCCTTCTCAAGTATTTGTAGGCTGAAATATTACTTCTATATATTACTTCTGGTAATAAATATTTACCATTTCAGATTTTTTTTTATTATTATTTGAATATTATCCGAAATAATAAATGGAAAGGCAGCCTTTATTTAGCTATTTCGAACAAAGAGAGGGGGCGGTTGTTCAAAGCGCGCTGAGGCACTCCTCGTTTATTCACATTTAAATAGACACAGTTCTGCTAGGCAAAGGGTAGCAGACAAACATAACACTTTTGTCAACAGACAGCAAAGTACGGTAACAGATTCCATAGGTGAAAACTGTGACAGCAAGAAAAACTTCAAATTGTCGGGTAACAGTTAAAAAGTCAAAGCAGAAATATTTTGTTGTCAAGATCACCACTTCGTATGAAGTTCAAAAGTTAAGGCCTGAAAAAGAAAAAAAAAAAAAAAGGATGTGAGACAAATACAGAAATGTTTCTGTGCGGTCAGGGTATGATGCAAACGAAGACCTGGTGACACTGGCTGAAACACCCCAAATGAGTGCAGCAGACCTCTACTTCCAGAAAACCGTTCCAAACGCTGAAGAGAACTACTGTGATCATCCTGAATTATGTAGGACAAATTACTTCCACCAGTAATTTTCTCACTGCTGCTATAACTTTAGAAGGGATGCTGTAGCTTTACCGTAAGTCCCTTTTCATTTACTTGTCATGCACAATACTCATTGTGTGTTGTAATTTTTTTTCCCCTGACACAAAAACTTGGCAAAAAAAACTTAGTATTAAAATATGAGTGCAGTCTTTGTTATGATTTGTGATAAAAAGAATAGTGGAGCTGTGCTTTTCATTACAGAAAGAGACGTGCTTAAGCAGGCAGAGAGCAGGACAGAGCTAAAAATCCTAAAATGAATATTGATTACAAATTAATCTCTTTAAGATACTAAGTAAATCACCAAAATGCTTGGATTCAAAACTTACTGAAATCTTCACCTATTGGTAAAATGGGAGAAAACAGTTATTTACCTTCCCACAGAACTGTCAATATTCACTGACTCTCAGAATGAGGTAGGAAATGATTTATTTGTTAGAGAGTACAGTTATGCATAGATAAAATAGCTATAAATTGAGCCTAGATTTATTACTATTGCTAGCTTGACCCACTTCAATTTTATTTCATATTTATGGAGATGTGAACAAGTTGGCAACCCTTTTATTCAACCTTCAAATTTTAGCAGCAGAAATAAGGAAAGCAGCATGATGGACAAAGATGTAAAAGATAATTCATATACACTTTGTTAATGCAGTATCTTATGTCTAAATTAATTTTCTTCATATACATATACCACAGGAAACCATTAGTCTCCATTTATAATTTTCCTGATATCAATTACTTAAATAAAACCTGCATTCTCTGTTATCTGTACATTATCAGAATTCTTTTCCACATGGAAAAAAAAAAGAGAGAAAAAGAAGGGGGAAAAGAGAGCATGATCTACATAAGTCTGCACAAGCACCATGTGTTATTTTACCTAAGTAGTAAATACCTCATAAATCTCTATCTCAACAATGTTAAACCAACTTCAGGCAAGAGTTAAGGTGCTACATTTTTAATTTTGTCTGAAAAAAAGTTGGTTTTACACTTCAGATAGAAACGAGAATCACTCGAATCCAAATCTTTCACTTGGTTATGTGTAACAACATTAGAGGAAAAGGCATCCTCTTTTACCTTGGTCAGCAGCATCTTTCAGCCTTTGAAATAATTTGGAAAAGAATTTTTCCTTTCTTCATAATCTGCAAATGCAGAAGCAATAGGATCTGAGTAGAACATGACAGGCCTTGGTCCTTCATTGTTCATAGTGAAAGTAGCTGGGAACTTTCTGAGATCAAGACCCCTCCCCGAAAAATAAGCCTGGAGCGTTCTGAAAAACTGAACATATTTGCAGATGTGAAAATAGAGCATGCCCAACAGAGATGACTTATTTCTACTGACACAAAGCAGATGTAATATTTGTTCCTACGTGGGGCAAAATCCTCTACTTCAATCGTAAACTGGTACAAAACAGGCAATGTAATTCAGACATGCCCACTCCATCCATGGCTTTTACACCTTATGTGGTGTCCAAAGGCCCCTGACTGTTATTGATCATCTGTGCTCCCCACTGAACCACAGGGGATTCAGACTGTATCCCTTATAAAACAGGCACAGCAAAGCCCTTGCTGAGGGCATACAGGACAGTTCTGTTACACATTTCTCTAAGGGGAGTGTTCTCTAAGAGCTAGCAACAGTGGGCAATCCATTTGAACAGGCCCTTAAGACTGCTTAAAAGTAGAAATTAATGCCTCTGAAAACAGTGAGGAAAAATGGTGGGAAACTGATTTTTTTTTTTTCCTTCACAAATTCCTTATAAGGTCTTGCAAACATTCTCTTGATTTTTTGTTGGCTGTAATTAACTTTCAGATCTTTAGCCACTATTCACAAAATGTCAGATACAAGCTTACTTGTGCTTCCAGAAGATGAGACAAAATGCAATCAAGAGAGTAGGCATTTGAGAGAAACATCATAATCCTTCCTCTTCTGTTTCATACAACAAGTGGTAGTATAATCAAAACACATTTTTAAAAACTAAAGCTGCCAGATGGAGATATAAGGAAGTTTTATGTCCTGCTGCACACTGAGAATGTCTCTTCAGTTGAGGGGTACATCTTGACTGAAGCATGCTTATCCAGTCGTGGTTACTGACGATACAAAGTGCACAGTTACTAACATTACAGTTAATGGGCCTCTCTTACCTTTAAATTCAGGAGATAAAAATTCTCATGATGGAAAACAAAAACACCCCCACAAAACTCAGGCAGCATTTCCTTACCAGGTCTCTGTTTCTAGGGTTGTCTAGAGGCTTCCATTTTTCTTCTGGTTGGAAAGGAGCAGCCTTTGCCAATCCTCTCACAGCCAATACTGCATATAGACCCAGGAGCACCGCTTTCCACATGTTGAAGAGATGAACAGACTATCTGTAAGAAGGACAACGAACCAGACTCTTAAGTCCTACAGAGCTGCCACCGGTAACAAATACAGCAAGCATGACAATCCAGTGGAGTGCTGAAAATAATTTCATCCATGGCAAGGAAAATCTGCCTACTACAGATTACATCTGTGTGCTATCAACTTTCTTGTTTTCCTAGTATTAATGTACTAGGAAGAACAAGTTATTCTAAAGAAGTGTCTCCCATACCAAAGCTATTTCGAGACTCTACTGGACTCTCTTTTTGAAAGGGACTAGTATGACATTTAACACAAAATATTTACATTTGTAAATTTACATTCATTACTACATACAGCCATTTTCATTGGCTGATTAGTTTCGGCATCAGATCTTTCTATGCTCCAAGGAAAATGCAAAAATATGGCTTGAGATCCAGACGGCTCAATTTTAAAAATTGCATTAAATGAAAGTGTACTACATACATTAATAAGTACAAAAATAATACAGTCTGGTAAAATATACTAGAGACCCATTTCACAACTTGATTCAAGGGAGGGGTTTAAAAAAAAAAAAAAAGAAATAATTCTCCCTTTCACTTTCTTTAAAATAAAGCTTACCAGTGAATTTGGCTCTGGCTTGCCCCTTCTTGGTTAGTCTCCTTGTAATCTGTGAACAAACTGATCTCTGCACTTATATTTCTAGTGGACTGTAGGTGGGTGTCAATGACGTTAGCAGGAGTTCAAAAATACAGTAATGATTCCATTTCCATCCACGACATAAAGACCCTTGAGAATTTCATCCTTAATACTCTTAAGACCTGTTGCTATTGAGCAGTGCAGTGCAAATTCCTCCTCCCCAAGTTGCATTGCAGAAAACTGGTGGTAAGCATATAATAAGTTTACAACAATTCCCAGCAGAGATAGCAGAGCTGTATCAAAATATTACTTTTAATTAAAAGTAATTAGCCATATCTCTCAAATGGTGACTAACAGATAATTACAGCTGGTTGAATGGTTTTCAAGGAAGATGAGATATGGATCATTTTCTTGATGCTGGAGAGAGAGAGAGAGAAAAGTAAAGTCTGTTTCAAGATCCAAAATTATAACATTTGAATGGAAGTGTTGCTTCCCTACCCTGATTTTATCGGCAGTCAATATCCTCCTGTCAGACTAGAAACTAAGACAAAGACTGCAAGGAGGACTATGCTAATTTACCTTGGCCTTATTTCATAGCGTTCTTCATCTCAAAGCTGCTCAAATTTTTTGCTTATAATTTCATTATAACTATCCTCTCCACTATTTAGATGATACTTCAGTTAGCATCACATAAAATGTATTCTCTAAATAGACATGTTAAAACTAAAAATTTTTGGCCATTATCTTACTCCAGATTATAGACGTTTATTTCTGATGAGAAGCTTTACATCTTTCTTCGGTTTACATTTTGACAGCAAAACAAAAACCTAACGCCACCCTTCCAGGCAAAGTTGTGGACATCCCAATGTCATTAGTAACACAGTAAACAAAATCCTAGCAGTATTATTTTCATGACTGCAGTAACATATGAAAATACAAGTCGACTTATCCAGTTTGTATATTATTCTACAGACTTGGAATAAAAAAAAAATTACCGACACAAAAATAATCAAAACCTGTCAATTACTTTTTATAATAGACAACTTCCAGATAGTAGACTCATCAAGAACCAGAACAGCATTAGTAACAGAAGAACATGTAAAAAGGTAGTTACTTATTTCCAGTTTAATTTTGTGCATAGTTTAACCTTCTAAATCAATCAGAAGTAGGAATATGCTCCTCCAGAGGAAACGATAGGAAGGGGAAAAGGCTTAATTTACAGTTTGGGATTAGATTTTAGTTCCTTATTTAGCTTTTTTTAAAAAAAAAAAGCCAGAACAAGAGGCAGTTTTCTTCCATTCTCTGTCCTCCTCTCCCTCCCCCCAATTCTTTTATTAATTTGATTTATTTAGAAAGAAAAGATGGGGATAAGTAATATATTCAGCTGGTAAAACATACCGAAGTCACCTGTACACTTGAAACAAGTTTTACTACTGTAGGAATTTAGGCAGTTTGGCTGACCGACAGAAGTATGCAGATACGCAAGAGATTCAATTAGCATACATATTCTGTGAGTTGTCTTAAAAAAAAAAAAAAATCCCTACAGACTGTATTGTTGTTTCTGAGCTAAAAGTGTTTGAGAAATTGTTGGAGCTAAAAGTTTGTTTAGACGTAGTGCTCATTTTACTGTGCGTTTTTTGGTGTGGTGTTTGGGTTTTTTTAAAAGCTAATTTCATTATAGCTCTTTCCTTCAGTAATAGTCAAATATGAGTGAAACACATTCATATTAAAATACTATTAGTATAGTTACACTGACTGGACGAAATTGTAGCCTCCTTTGAGAACAGCAGCTAGTTTTAAACAAATGCTTTCAGAGCCAGATGTCAGCATGCTGCCTTCTCAATGCAGCCAAATTTAAGCTGTAGGTTTTCTTGACAAGTTACCTATATAGACATGCATCTTCAGTAAATTGAATCTTTTGAAAGTGGTTACACTAGCTGTATAGTCCTTATGGCATAGTAAGGAATATTTAGGTATGTTTGAATTAAATTGCTCTGAAGCTGAAAATGCTCGTAGCATTGCTTTTTCAGTTTCTTGCAAGTTACTTCGAAAAGCTAAAAGTCTTGTTCTAGAACAAAAGGCAAAATTAAAACCAATTAGTTTAGCTGAGAACAAGTTTTATACATGTAATGCTCTATATAATCTACATTATTCAGGAAACATTTTCCTTTTTATTGCATTTCCCATTCATGACAGCAAGGCAGGTATAACAGTCTGAGGTGCATGAGTTAAGATAGAGACAAGTTTCGTCAGGTATGATCTTTATTGTATCTACTCGAGATACAAAAAAGTGTCTGTTACTTAAAGTGCTGCTTTAGCCACAATGCTTCTGTTCACATTTTTTATTTTCTGCTTAGTATCCCAAGTATTACAAGTCAGAAGGAAAAGCACCAAACTGCTCCACATGAGTACCTGAGCAAAGACTAAAGGCAAGCGTTCATCACAACACTCATGAGCGTGTTTGTACAACAGAAGTGCAGGTAACATTCACAACACTCTACAGAGTATGTCTGGTAAGTGGCACTTTTTGTGAATTACAGCCATTTGTACTAATGCAACCATGTTAGAACACCATACAAAAATATACAGAAGTGTTTATTTAGCAGAGCGTATTCTATACAGTGTACTCTAAGTCATGCACATGTAGGTTAAAAAAAAAAGATAAATAAAAAAATGTGAAGTATACACTGCAGACAGGGAAACCATCAAACAAAATACAAACATCCCAGAGTAGCTGCCACTCAAGTTGCCCTCAACTTCAACAAAAAAGTACCAGTATCTAAACCCACAGTTTTTAAGGATTCCATGATTCCAGCTTTCAGCAGTTTCAACATTAGCTGAAGATTCCTATTCTCCAGGGTTTTCTCAGCATCCCACAAGAAAAGGACTTTGCCAAAGCTTATCACGCATTGCATGATCTGTATCTGAGAATTCAGTTATAAACATTTTAGTAAGCACAATAGTTTATTGTAGCATTATTCAAAGATTTCTAGATAAGACGTCGTCAACATCTCTACAAACCTGTAACTATTAAGAGTTAGCTCCACCCACAGATTTACACTAGCTAGATAAGAACTGAAAACAGAGGAAGAGTTAAAAACACTTAAGACAGGTTGCTTGTGAAGCAATAGATTTTTCCAAAAATTACATATGTGTTCTTCAAAGTTTTAAGTCCTCTTAAAACCAACCAACCACCCTCTCCCTTCCCCCTAGTTACTCAAACCAGGTATTTTGGCCAACGTTATTGTTTTCATGCTTAGAAAAACAACAAAAAGGTAAGTAGAGAATCAAGTTACTTGGCCTGGGTTCTTCTAATCATCATATATAAAGGCCTTAAAGGCAGTTCTGCCCCTCAATGATTTTAATACTGGAACATTGCTGTAGCTAGGAAATCAACAATGGCTAGGATGACTGAAACAACATCATCACAAAAGAAAGAAGAGAAAGTTAGGTGACCAGAATGAGAGTTTTAAGTTTAATATACAGAATATATGTTTACTATATGTTTAATATACAGAAAGAAGTAGCAGGGAAGACAAAAATCGCAGAAGTGCCACAGCATCAGCAGCATTGTGGCAGTCAGGCTCAAGTTAGTTCTCAATAAAAGAAGGTTAATAACTTTGACTTGTTTCGCTTCAAACAATTACTGTGATGGGCTGACATGCAGTCATTTTGTGTGCATATCTAAATACCCACAGTCCAATGATAAGCTTTGAGATGGCATCTTTATCCAAGATTCAGTATAACACAGTACTAATACTGGCGGGGGGCGGAAGTCAGAATTAGGGGTCTTTTGTTCAAAACATGCAAAGGATCTTGTAGACAAACATAAGGAAAGCCAGTGGTGGCTTTTCCTGAGCTCTTCATATTAAAAAATATACAGTAAGAAGTCCTTCGACTATAGAAAAACAAGATTTTAAGATCTTGACTATTTCTTATTTTCTTTAATGAATTGAGAACAACAGACTGTACAAACCTCTCCCTCCCTCAAACATTTCAGGTTTTTATATACGAATATTTTTCCTAAAAAGTGAAATTTGTTATTCAAAACTTCTGGAGCTTTAAAACAACCAGCCTCACCCCACCACCTTCTAGTTTTATTCTCATGCTGGTGTAGATATTGATACTTAATGGCTTAAATACAATATTTTGCTTACCCTACAATTAGAGAATTTTTTTTATTTTGAAGAAAGTAAAGAACAAAATTTTTAAAAATAATTTGACATACAGACTTCAAAGTTGAGACATATCTGAGACTAGCTTTCCTTTCCTATTTTTCTTTTTGTCACAATAGAAAGACTTGAGAAATTAAGGTCAGCTAAAGCTTTCTGAATTTGGTTGGTGTGATTCCAAACCACAAATATACTGTAC